TAGGGAAGGGTACAGAAGGACCCAGTACCTTCTTTGTGTCTAATGTTTATTACACAGAGATTGAAACTGATGCTTTAATGGAGACAAACAGGTGTTCCCAAGCACTACATTAGCATGAGAATATCTACATAATCACAGCATTAAACAGTAAGTCACTTAAAAGCAGCAATGAATTAATGTCAAGTTTATATGACCTTGTATCTAAATGACTGCTTCAACAAATACAGCACTTTTAATGAAAATGGTAAATGTGAAATGATCCTCCAAGGTCTAATAATAACATGAAAATGAGTTGACACTAGTGACATCCTTAGATTAAAGCTGAGCTATGCTTACTTTAAGACAAATTCTCTTTGCCTCTGCCCCCAAATTAGTGAAAGGCAAATAAAATCTTCATTAGAAATGCTGTACTGTGATCTTTTTCAGCTGTGAAGAATAGTAAGTTTATGAGATTTTGCAAATAAACAAGGTACACTGAGCACAGCGTTTCAATGAACAAATCAACTTTGAGTGTTAAAATAAATGACAGTGTTTGTATCAGGAATCTTTAATTTGTTATTTTACCTGCATACTGTTACACCTAAGTGTACTTACGCTATTACAAACATCTTGGTAAAAGCCAACTGTTTATGGTAGTGAAGAACAGAGGGTTTCATCTTTTCACAGAACCTGGACAGCCTAAGAAACCTCACTACTGCACTACTGGTTTGAGTGTTTTTACTGTGATAAATTTACTTGTGATAAATTTAAGTTGTATACTTGTTTGAAGTATTTCAGGATAGAAATGAAATTTAATTTTCTACAGAAAGATTTGAAGTAATTCAATTGACTGGTGCTTATTATGGGTATTTGGAGATGTTACAAAAAATTACAGCTGCACACCTACTCTGAGGTTTAGTCTGTGGAATCTAACTTCTTGGTACCTTGAATACATCCTCACAGAGTCCAGACTCTCTTATATTCACATCTGGGATCTGGTGTTGAAACATTTCTAAATTAGAAACTAAAACCAGAATTCCAGCACTGATCTTGCCCATTGGCCTCAGTTTGGCAACATGTTCTGCAGGTTTGTGAGGATAAGCAAGTTCTAACAGGACACTGGGGGACTTTATACCTTGCTGCCAATAATCTAATGTGTGAAATAGGGGAGTAGAATATTCTTCTTCCTTTGCAAATCAAAATTGAGACAGAGGAATCCAAAACAGCCTTTTAAAAAGCATGATACTGTCCTAACTCTGCAAAGCCATAGCTGAGCTTTCTCTCAACACCATAGAACGACCACAGGTAACGATGGACTGCAGAAGTACACCTGAGCAGGAAAGCGTACTTGACCAATATTGTGCCAAGAAGTCAACTGTTCCAAGTGACAGAACACAAAACTGGGTTATTTTTCTATTAGATTACAGTGGTGGTTTTGCCTTGAGAAAACCACCAGTCTGCAAGCTCAAAAAGGATCATTTGTGTTATCTAAGTGCCTGATTTTGTTCACTTCTTGTTTGCAGCTTAGTCTAAGTGCTCACTGGATCAAGTCACATTCTATTTACTGAAACAGATTACAGAAATGGCTGAAGCAGGACTTGTTCTGAAACCAGACTGCATTTCAGCTTAGTGGACAGCCATATCTAGACATGAGCACAGACACGAAGCAGCTTTTCAGTTCCTATTTGCCAGGCTATGCACTTCTCTCTTGACCTGCATCATCTATTTTGTGAACAAAGGCACATTTTACGTACCATGTCCAGGCACAGCAATTAAATTGTCCTCATTTTCTAAAGACTAAGTAACATTTAAGCTTCCTTCTTAGTGTTCCTGCTTCCTTTTGCTAAACTGCTGCTAGTGCACTAGATTTCTGGGGGGATTGTAAAAGTGAGGGAGGTAAACTAATTTACAGGCAAGGTAAGTTGCCTGAGTTGTCTTGTAAAGGAATGATTAAAACAGAATAACCTGAGAAATTTAGCTTCTGAAAACTGATTTCTGTGACCAGCTTCACTTTTGGCTTGCAGTCTTCAGGATCACAGCCAAAGCTGGCCTGACATGAAACTCGCTCTTCCTCCTATGACGGCACACCGTAACACAATTTAAAGAACTTGTGAATATTCAGCAAAGCCAGGGAATGGCTCCCACAGAGAAGAACGGCTTTGTTTAGTAGATACTTTTCTGCTGATGTTCTTGTTCTATAACTTTTCAGAGGAAGATGGAGAGTGTAAATTTCTAGTGCACTTCCTGGCATATATGAAGAACTGTGGACTAAAAAGGCCTGCAAATGCATCAGCTTAGTGTCACACATTTTTCCTTTCTGTAACCTCCCAAGATAGGTTCAAAACATCATTCCTAAAAAACAAACAAACAAACAAAAAACCCCCCCCAAAACCAGAACAGTTTAAACAGGGGGATTAGTAATACCATGTAACCCCTTAAGTTAAATTAAGATTGTGATACTTCTAGTTATTTCTTCAGAGAAGACTATGTCAAGGCTCTTGACTTTTCTGCTTCCCATTAACTTGAATGAAAAACTACATCATATGGAGAGCTTGAAGAAATGGCCACAAACCAAATGTTGATGTCTTAAGATGAAACACACATTCCTGAAAATCTCACCACTTTCATAGAACATTGCAGGTGGACTGTGTAACACCTCATAATCTCCAACTTTGTGTTTAAGAGTTGTTCCACTTCTTGCCGCTGCCAAGTTTGTTACTTGGAGAAAGCAGAGGACATTTTACCTTCGGCATTTATAACCATAGTCGCGACAACCCCTTTGTGGGACTGAATCCTCTTGAGGGTTTCCTCCACTTCAGCCTGCGAGGAGAGAGGACACAGGGGACACCACAGCATCCTCACAGCTCCCGCCTAATGGCGAGCGCGGGCCCCTGTGAGGCGGCCGCGGAGCAGCAATGCCAGAAAGCAGCCCTGGGGCTCTGCCCTCTGATGCCCCCCACCCTCGGTCGCTCCCCAGCGCCACCGGCCGCCCCATTCCCCTCCCGTTGCTGTGGGGAGCGGCACCATTACCATGGCCTTGCTGCCGCTGCGCCGCCGTTGCTATGGAGCGGCGGAAGTGACGCCAGGGGGCGGCTGCACGGGCGCAGTACGGGCCGAGCGCGGTCCCCGACGGGACGGGGTCGGTGGCGGTAGTGCCCCAGTGCTGGCTGTACCTGGTGAGCCCAACTGCCAGCCACAGTGAAGGTCCTAGAGCCATACGGGGATTCACAGTTCATACCTCAGGAAGAGCAGGAAAGGACACTAAGAGGAATGAGGATAAGAGCACCTGCAACATGGCCAGGGGGCAGCAGGAGCCCAGGTGTGGCTGGGTAGGGCTGTCAGGGTTTATTAGTGCTTGGAGGGACCTACAGCCGTTGATGTCACTGCTGCTTTGGGCTGAGCTCTCTTGGTGAGCTGTGGCTGGTAGGTGAGGTGCAATTAAGTTGCCTTAGTTGTTGTAGTAGAAGGGTTTTGTTTTTTTGTTGTTAGCTTATTTTGAAGTTGAGAGTGATACTGACCTAAAAGCATCCTAGTTTAGCTGCTGTTACTCAAAAGAAGTATTACTTTTCCCTAGCATTGCCTTGTCTGCTCTCTATATTTCCACAACTGTTACATGTTGTGTAGGTGTGCAGAGCTTGTTTTTCACCAGTAGAAGCTCTCTAGTGTGGCTGTCCTGTGGTTGCTGTGTATAGATAGATAAGTCTTCTTTGTAAGAAATATTGTGTGCTGCTGTAGCTTACTAGACACTTCAAATTGGTGTAAGCTGCTCTTACGATGCTGTAGTGTAAATAAATTACCTACATGTTTCTGTTCTCCTTTACCAAAATAGTAGGGGAATAAGCTTCATGTGCCAGACCTTTGAAGAGCCATTTTTTCCCATGCGCACAGTAAATAGTACTGATATGTTCAAAAGACTCTTACATGTAATTTTAAGAGAAGGGGGCTAGCCTTACTGAGTCTTCTGTGTTGTATATGAAACTTCTTTGGTTCTTGTGATTGGAGTGGCTTTTAGCTGCTCTAAAGAGTTGGCAAGTTTATGAAATTTGGTGCTTTGGGAAGCTATCAGTCCCACCTCTTTTGTTAAACTTTATTTTGAACAGAAGTCTTAAGAACAAATTAACAAATTAATCTGCAACTCTTTTAAGGACCCAGTTGTGTTTGAAACTTGCAACATTATGTCAGCACATAATTTAATGCAGTTGATGACCTTATGTTGGAGAGAAAGTAACTTCTGTGTGTGGGGTTGCCCCATCTATTACAACAATATTATTCTAGGCGTTTATTAAGTTGCAGACTGACAGGGGCTAGCATAAATCAGAAGTATTGAAGTTGCTGTATATTCAGATATTCATATCACACAGAATCACAGACTCACAGAACGTTAGGGATTGGAAGGGACCTCAAAAGCTCATCCAGTCCAATCCCCCTGCCGGAGCAGGAACACCCAGATGAGGTTGCACAGGAAGGCGTCCAGGTGGGTTTTGAATGTCTCCAGTGAAGGAGACTCCACAGCCTCTCTGGGCAGCCTGGTCCAGTGCTCTGTTACCCTCACTGAGAAGAAGTTTCTTCTCAGGTTTATGACTGAATTGAAATGGTTTATGAGAGAAGGGAGAAATTGACAGGAATATCAATGTGTTTATTTCAAAAGGTGCTATTCTGGGAGTTAACCCAACATGCTATGACTTGCTGTGGAAGGCACTCAAGAGCACTATGCCTGTAGCAGATACTGGTCCATGTGAGTCACTGTGTGAGTTGAGTTTCACCTGTGAGCAGTTTAGCCAGCAGTGAAATTTGCATTGATAGCAGTTGTTCAGTTTTGTAACAGTAAGAAGTATGGTGTTCTGAATTTTTGGAAATGAGGTATTTTTGCAGATATTTTTTCTTTTAATGGAGGAATTGGAAGCACTGGTGCATGACTATTGAATCTGACTGGAACGTCTGCTGGGCGATTTTGCTTTAGTACAGTCAGTAGATGCTCTTAAATGAGAACCTACAGATTATACAATATAAACCTGGTCCTCCTGTCGGAGCAGGTCACAGGAGTGATCCTTGCTGTTACAGTCCAGCTCAGGTCAGCATGCTGTAGGCGAGCATGTTGTAAAGGCTAGTGGTGATCCTACTCCCAGTAACTGCACTGGCAATTCCAGGGATCTAGAAAAACGAAGACTGGGAGTTTTTCCACTTACTTGCTGCATTGTTGCTATTTTTTAATTTTCAAGGCTTCTTTCAAGACCACTCTTTTCCTTCATTAATGCAGGGTGCCTACATGTCTTTTTAAAACCAGTAAGAATACTAGCTCAGCTTTGCAAAAAATACTGAACTGGAGCCAAAATGACAGCTAGCATAGTGCAGGATTATTCTTGGAAGCATTATTTTTACTCAGCATGAAAGACTGAAACAAGCAGACTTTTACAGATGCTCAGATAGACTTTGTCTCAGACTTAAACACATAACAAATTAAAATATTTTCTTAGTTACTTGAAATTTAACTTGGAATTCAGATTCCAAGCAACATAATTATTTTTCTGATACGCAGTAGTGAATGCAGTGTTAGGAACAAAGTGATACTGCTTGAGAACCGAAAAATGCCTCATAATCTAGAAATGGGATCTTGAAAATACTTACCTGTGTGAATAAGTTTAAATATTTGCTGGTAAATGTAGTATGTGAGAAGCTTAAACTTCAGGTGCTTGTACTTGCAGTCTGGTGTTTGAAAAAAATCAATTGAAATACGGAAAATACTTAAAACTGTTTTCACTTTTTTTCTTTAAGCTTTGACAGGAGATGCAATTCTGTATGTGGGGAGTAGGAAGAGAATTTTGGTGGTAAGTACATGATAATTTAATTCCTTCCTTGTTGCTTGAATCTGGAAACCCAGGAAGAGGTAGAGAGGGAGTGAAGCATGCTGAGAGAGACACTGAGGGACCTGAGCTACACTGAAGTGCTGTAAACAATCTTGTTTTGCTGCCAGCCATTATGAAATAGCATAAATCAATTCAATTCAGGAAGAACCTCACTTTTTATAATCAGTAATCTTGATTACGAGTCACTGTAAAGGTCTGCCAGCTATTACGATAGCTCCTTTGCCCATGCTGTAGGATGTCTCCTGAAGTTTTTAGTTTTGCTGGCCTATAAAGTGGAATGAACGTGTGCATGACCAGTGGTGATGCTGCTGATGACCGTACAGCTGGTACTTTCAGTTTTTTTCCTCTGATTTTATTTCTAGCCAAACAGTCTCCAAGGAAATTTGGTAGAAGCAGGTAATGTGGCATAGTTGCTGAAAGCTTTGAGTCTATTCTTGGCACATAGCCCTTACAAATATCTAAAATAAATGACTGATTATTTGGTATTATGTGATTATTTTGACACAGTACTGAGAGAAAGAGAAGTACAGATTGTGTTCAGGTGTACAGAAGTTTGAAATCTTTAGTGCAGATGTGTTGCTATAAATCATGCTGCTGTTCAGTCATGCATCAGCCAATGAACAGGAGCTACAGTTTGGTTTTATTGCCCACAGACTCTGAGGATCTGGCTCAGAGTTTTGTAGAAGTAAAAAGAGAATTGAACTTTGCTATCCCCAGAAGACTGCAGGAGTAGAAGTGTTATTTTGTGGCAGTAGCACAGTTAAGTTAAAGTGTGGTGTGGGGTATCTGTGGGTGGAAAAACTGATCAGTAGGGCTCCAGGGCTGTACCTGTCCTTCTCCTCGTCTTTTAATAGTTCTACATTGAGCAATCAGTTGTTGTCAGCATCTCCTGCTGTGTGTGAAATACACAATCTCTACTACTCAGTTGAAAACCTCTTCCCTTTCCTTGATTGAAATTGGGCTTTGGTTTTATTAAAAGATCTCCTTTAAAAACATGAAAATTAATGAAAACTGAGTGAAATCAGCCATTATTGGAAAATTATGAAGAAAACTGTCTTGTTTTCTGTAATGGCCTTGTAACAAACATGGGAGCTAGAGCGGATGAGCTCAAGATCTTTCCCAATCTGACCGTCAATAGTTTTATTTATGCTAAATTTCTGTTACCTCCACAAACCCAAATATCATAAACTGTGAAAATACTTAAACTGTGTCATGTAGGTGTGTATGAAACAATCTTAAAGTTAATCTGTAGATAAATGTTAGAATAAAAATTCACTTAAAATATTTTGTGTAAAAACTTTTCATAACTTTAGAGAGCAGTTTCTGAGGGTTTTTGCCCATTGTGTGAGGAATTTCTAGCTCAAATCCTCTAGATGGTGCCACAGCTACAGCACATCGAAGTGAACTCATGGTTAGGTTTTGTGTCTTGCTCGTTAAAACGCCACTTCACTTAAGTCAGGTATGGTACGAAAGGATTAATGGCTTCAGTTCTGGTCCTATTTGCAGGTTTATGCAGGGAGGAATCGGCATTGGTGGCTTACCCAGCCTCAGCTAAGTAAGAGTAGAATGTTTTTTATAGATACAGAAATATTGCAAGAGCTGTTGTGTGGTCAAATTTGCCCCTCATGTCTTGAAACCATACCTTGGGTGCTGAGGAGGGCAGAGGTGGCCAGCTGTAGCCCGTGGTGCTGATTAAGTGACAGCAATAAGCCTCTTAAAACTCCCAGCAGATGTTGCTGCTTTTGTATGCTAACGAGTACTTCACAAACCATTTTCTGTTCCTTCTGAGAGCAGATGTAAGTACATGAAAATTGCTTTCTTATATCAAGAGCAAATTGATAATAACCTTGGTTCAGTTGTAAGGCAGAAGCTATAAAGGCACTTCATTTGATAATTGCAGAAAGCTTATGTGGGACTTCATCAAAATTAATTTCCTATGTTCTGCTAACTTTTCTTGTACTGAAGTAGTCAAGCAAAATCTGAATTGTACACATTGCTACC